GCCCCATCATGAAAGTTGACAGCATAATGAAGAAGCCCAGGTTTGAAATCCAGCTTCTTGGGCAAATTACTTTAACCTCTGTATCTTAGTTTCTTTTTTTTTTTTTTGTCGGTCATGGGGCTTGAACTCTGGGCCTGGGCGCTGTCCCTCAGCTCTTCAGCTCAAGGCAAACGCTCTACCACTTGAGCTACAGCGCCACTTCCGGTTTTCTGGTGGTTTATTGGAGATAGGAGTCTCACGGTCTCTCCTGCCCAGGCTGGCTTTGAACCGAGATCCTCAGATCTCAGCCTCCTGAGTAGCTAGGATTATAGGCGTTAGCCACCAGCGCCGGCTTGTACCTTAGTTTCTTTACATGTAAAATGAAGACTGAAAGCCAGGCACCAGTAACCCATGGCTGTAATCCTAGCTAATTAGAAGGCTGAGATCTGAAGATCATGGTTTGAAGCCATCCCGGGCAAGAAAGTCCATGAGATTTATCTCCAATTAATCATCAGAAAGCTAAAAGTAAAGTAGTGGCTCCTGTGGTAGAGCACTAGCCTCAAGCACAAGAAAGCTCCAGGTACAGCTCCTAGGCCCTGAGTTCAAGCCCCAGGACCAGCACAAAAAAAGATGGAGATAGTAATGGTTACCCATACCATATGTTACAGTAAATTTAAATGCTTGAACTAAGTGCTTCAGAGTACCTGATCAGAGTGTCTGAAGTGGAATCTCAATGTTTTGATTTGCATTTCTTTATGGCCAGAGAAGTTGAGCATTTCTTAATGTGTTTATTGGCCATTCTTATTTCCTCTTCAGAGAAGTCTCTCTTTAGCCCACTTGTTAATGAAGCAGTTGTTTCTTTGAGGATCTGATTTTGGGGGATTTAATTTTTTGAGTTCCAAGTATATTTTAGATATGAGTCCCTTGTCTGTTACATGGCTAGTGAAGATCTTCTACCAATCCTTGGGCTTTCTATTGATCTTGCTAGCTATGTCCTTTGCCATGCAAAAGCTCTGTAGTTTAATGCAATCCCATTTGTCCAACCTTTCTTTGATTTGTTGTGTATCTGGGTCTTTATTAAGAAAATTCAGCCTGTGCCAAGGAGCCCTAGACTTTCTCCTATTCCTCCTGTAATGGGAACACTACTGCACTGTTGGTGGGAATGTAAACTTGTTCAACCACTCTGGAAAGCAGTATAGAGTTTCCTCAAAAGACTCCACATAGAGCTCCCCTATGACCCAGCAGTCCTACTTCTGGGCATTTACTCAGAAGATCACAAACAAGACCACACTAAAGCTACCAGCGTAACTATGTTTATCACAGCATTATTCACCATAGCTAAAATATGGAACCAACCCAGATGCCCCTCAGTAGATGAATTGATCAAGAAAGAATGACACCACCCCATTTGTAAGGAAATGAAAAGGTTTGGAAAAATCATATTAAAGTAAGCAGACCCAAAGAAATATAGGTCCCATGGTATATGTCTAGGATAATCTTAGCAGATGAGCAGAATAGTTCAATAGCTATGTACATATGACCATATAAGATGATGCTAAGTGAAATGAACTCCAAGACATGGACACGAGGTTTTTCTTCATTGTTTTCTGCTTTTAATGTACTACGTGATTTTTTTGTTTCTTTTGTATGTTCTTCCCCCTGTGGCATATCCCCTGTTGTCACTGTATTTGATTTTGGTATCCTAGTATTGTATATACATTTATTTGAATTAGGGAAGGGAAGGGGAACAACAGAATGGTGAGACAAAGGACAAGGTTTCAGGGAAGCCAATGCAACAGTGGTATACACAAGACAGTATGTTGGAAATGATCTGTACCACTTGGGCGGAGAATGGAGGAGAGGGAAAGGAGGAGAAAAATGAGGGGAGGGGGTAACAAGTTTGACAGGAGTGCCTGACCAAGTCAGGCGACAGTGGCTCATGCCTGTAATCCTAGCTACTCAAGAAGCTGAGATCTAAAGATTGCAGCTCAAAGCCAGTCCAGGCAGTGAAGTCTGTGAAACTTTTTTTTTGTCCGTCATAGGGCCTCCACTGTCCCTGAGCTCTTCAGCTCAAGGCTAGTGCTCTACCACTTGAGCCACAGCACCACTTCCTGCTTTTTTTCCCCATTTATGTGGTGCTAGGGAATTGAACCCAAGACCTCATGCATTAGCTGGGCGCTGGTGGCTCACGCCTGTAATCCTAGCTACTCAGGAGGCTTAGATTGGAGGATGGTGTTTCAAAGCCAACCCAGGCAGGAAAGTCTGTGAAACACTTATCTCCAATAAACAACCAGAAAACCGGAAATGGTGCTGTAGCTCAAGTAGTAGAGCTCTAGCCTTGAGCTGAAGAGCTGAGGGACAGTGCTCAGGCCCAGAGTTTAAGGCCCCACAACCGACAAAAATAATAATAATAAAAAGACCTCATACATGCAAGGCAAGTACTCTACCACTGAGCCACCATCCCAGCCCAAGTCTGTGAAACTCTTATGTCTGGTTAACACACAGAAAAGTCAGTGGTAGAAGTGTGTCTCAAGTGGTAAACACCAGCATTGAGAGAAGGGAGAGAAAAAAAAATACCTGACTAAACTGGCCATGGGGGCTGGGAAGGTGGTTTAGTGGTAGAGTGCTTGCCTTGCATGCTTGAGGCCCTGGGTTCGATTCCTCAGCACCACATTAGCAGAAAAAGGCTGGAAGTGATGCTGTGGCTCAAGTGGTAGGGCTCTAGCCTGGAGCTGAAGAGCTGAGGGACAGAGCCCAGGCCCAGAGTTCAGCCTCCACAACCTACCAAAAAAAAAAAAAAAAACTGGCCATGGTACACATACCTGTAATCTCAACACTAGAAAGGCCTGAGGCAAAGGATGAGAGTTCAAGGGCAGCTTGGCCTACATAGCAAAACCTGTCTTGTTTTTATAAAAACCTGGCTTGTACTTTAATGCCATTAAAGTGATTATCTGTTGCCATTGTCATTACTAATATTGATATTAATACAGCTGTTATCCCTGTCTCCTCTGGGATAACACTGTTTCTGTCACTGCCTTAGTAATTCACTCACCCAAAATTAAAGGGGGAAAAACTTGAATTTTCAGTGTTTTTATTTTTTTAATTTATCTTTTGAAAAATTATTTCACTGTGTAGCCTAGGTTGGCCTCTAGCTCCAGCCTCCTGCCCCAGCCTCCAGAATGCTGGAATCACAAGTATATGTGCCACCATACTCAGCCTCACTTGCCATGTTTTATGAGATATTTCAAGTGTATATAAATTGAGAAAAGACATATTTAGAGGAAGTAAGTTTTCTGGGGAGGGGGAGGGAGGAGGAAAGAAATTGTCAATGAAATTTCATGCCTACAATCTCAGCATTTAGGAAGGATTAAGAATTTGAGACTGGGCTGAGAAGGTGGCTCAGTGGTAGAGTGCTTGCCTTGCATGCATGAGGCCCTGGGTTCGATTCCTCAGCACCACATAAGCAAAAAGAAAAAAAACCGGAAGTGGCGCTGTGGCTCAAGTGGTAGAGTGCTAGCCTTGAGCTGAAGAGCTGAGGGACAGCGCCCAGGCCCAGAGTTCAGGCCCCACAACTGACAAAAAAAAAAAAAAAAAAGAATTGAAGCTGGCTGGTCGCCAGTGGCTCCCACCTGTAATCCTAGCTACTCAGGAGGCTGAGATCTGAGGATTGTGGTTCTCTAGTTAACCACCAGAAAACCAGAAATGGTGCTATTCTATAGCTCAAAATGGTAGAGCACTAGCCTTGAGCTGAAGAGCTCAAGAGCAATGCTCAGGCCCAGAGTTCAAGCCCCAGGACAGACAAAAGAAAGAGTTTGAGGCCAACCTGATCTACATAATGAGATTGTCTCCCAAAAGAAATGAAAACAAGTTGGGGGAAGGATAGTTGTGGAGGTGGGAGGGGAGTGATGTTGGGGGCGGGGGGATAAAATTTTAAAAAACAATAACAAGGGCTGGGAATGTGGCTTAGTGGTAGAGTGCTTAACTAGCATGCATGAACCCCTGCATTCAATTCCTCAGCACCACATAAACAGAAAAAGCCAGAAGTGACACTGTGGCTCAAGCGGTAGAGCGCTAGCCTTGAGCAAAAGCAGATCAAGGACAGTGCCCCTGCTCTGAGTTCAAGCTCCAGGACTAGCCAAAGGAAAAAAGAAATGAAAACAAAAGTTAACTGTTGAGTCCTATAACAATTTATCCAATTATTTTAAGGTCTCATACCTGAATACTTTTTAGAGTGGAGGTTTTGAAAGTCATAGAAGATCACGAACTCATTTTCTAGGAATACAGGGGGCTGTAGAGTATTGGGGCATAAATTTTAATTAGTAGTGTACATAGTGTTTCCAAATTATCAGTTTGAAAAATGAGATGGTACACTGGTGGCTCACACCTGTAATCCTAGCTACTCAGGAAGCTGAGATTGGAGGATTTTGGTTCAAAGTCAGCCCTGTCAGGAAAGTCCAAGGAACTCTTATCTCCAGTTAAACTACCAAAAAGCTGAAAGTGGAGTAGTGGCTCACTGATACAGCATTAGCCTTGAGCAAAACTGAGTTTTGCTCAGGCCATGAGTTCAAGCCCCAGTACAAACACACACACACAAACACACACGCACACGCACGCACGCACGCGCATGAACACAAGACATGAATTCAAACCGGGGGGAAAAAATGGGGCTGGTATAGTTCAATAGTACAGTGCTTGCCTAGCATGCACAAGGCTCTGGATTTAGTTCCTAGCAATTCAACAACAAAAGTAAGAGAAGTGGGGAAAATTGTCCTTCATAGAAAATATCAGACATATCTTAATCTAATTCTTCAAATGAAATACACATTTTTAGAAATCTAGTTGTATTGAAGTGTGAATATGTAATGGAAGTCATGTGTAGTAAAGCATACTGTTATGGAAAATCATCCCTGTGTAGTCAAGTATCTAAGAAGGTAAGCAGAGTTGACTGCTGAATTCAAATGAATTTATGTGAACTTGAATGTCTGTCTCCAGGCAGTAAGTGTTTCTGTTTGTTTTTCCAGATCTTACCAATATATTTGAGTCCTTCCTGCCCCAGTTGTTGGCCTATCCTAATCCCATAGACCCTCTCAATGGTGATGCTGCAGCCATGTACCTCCACCGACCAGAAGAATACAAGCAGAAAATTAAAGGTAACAAGGCACTTAGGAGGCACATAAAAGAGGGATCAGAAGAACTTAAATATCTCATTTAAAACCTTTCTCTTGAGCTGGGACTATGGCTTAGTCCTAGAGTGCTTGCCTAGCATGCATGTGGCCCTGGCTTTGATTCCTCAGCACCACATAAATAGAAAAGGCCAGAAGAGGCACTGTGGCTCAAGTGGTAGAGTGCTAGCTTTGAGCAAAAAAAAAAGCAGCTCAGGGACAGTGCTCTCTTTCCTTTTTTCTTTTTTTTTTAGGGGGTGGGAATACTAGGATTTAAATTTGTCCTCATGTTTGCCAGGCAGATGCTCTACTGCTAAGCCACATCTCTAGCCCTTATTTTGCTTTAGGGACTTTTTTTTTTTTGCCCAAGCCAACCTGAACCATGATCTTCTATTAATGCTTCCCAAGTAGTGGGACACACCACCACACTCAGCTTTTTATTGGTTGGGAGAGTGGCTCAGTGAACCTTTGTTTGGACTAGCTTTGAAATACAGTCCTCCTGCTGGGCTCTGGTGGTTCACACCTGTAATCCTAGCTACTCAGAAGGCTGAGATCTGAAGAATGCAGTTCAAATCAACAATCTATCACTGAAGCTACATCCCCCAGCCCTCTGTATATTTGAAACCCTTCATAGTGAACAAGTCTATATACATAAAACAATTCCACAAAAAAAGGGACTCAAAACAAGTCATTGAATGTGTACTTAGTCTGCTTAGGTGTTCCGCACAGAATCCACAGCACCAGCTTCCTCAGAAGGTGTGGCCCCTTAAAGGTGTATTTGCAAGAAATGGCAAATAGAAGTATTTTATGAGCAGCACTTGAATGCCTTAGTCGTCACTCCTTTTTTTTGGTCCGGTCGTGGGGCCTGAACTCTGGGCCTGGGCGCTGTCCCTCAGCTCTTCAGCTCAAGGCGAGCACTCTACCACTTGAGCCACAGCGCCACTTCCGGCTTTTTTCTTTTTGCTTATGTGGTGCTGAGGAATTGAACCCAGGGCCTCTAGCATGCAAGGCAAGCGCTCTACCACTGAACCACCTTCCCAGCCCCAAATATAATAGTTGTCACTCCTAACTGTTCAAGTACAAGAGATACAGGAGCATTGAGGGCTACTTATTGAATAATAATTTCCCTTTGTTTCTTTCCTTATTCTTCTCAGGCCTGTATAGGACATTGTTGGGTGTTTTTGTTTAGATATAGTAGAAATCTGAAATTCATTTACTTAAGTCTCAAATGCTTTGCAAATTAATATCTAATTTATGTACTTTAATCTCATGCTAGACCAATATATATTCTAAGAAAAAAGAAGCTAATTTCAGCTAGATAAAGTTGTTATGGAATTATGTTAAGATTTTGACATAGGGCCGGGTGCCAGTGGCTCACGCCTGTAATCCTAGCTACTCAGGAGGCTGAGATCTGAGGATCGTGGTTCAAAGACAGCCGGGGCAGGAGAGACTGTGAGACTCCTATCTCCAATAAACCACCAGAAAACTGGAAGTGGTGCTGTAGCTCAAGTAGTAGAGCGCTCGCCTTGAGCTGAAGAGCTGAGGGACAGCGCCTAGGCCCAGAGTTCAAGCCCCACAACCGCCAAAAAAAAAAAAAGATTTTGACATAGGAATTACTTAGCAGCATCTACAAGCCACAGATATCTCAATAGAATGTGTTTCTGTAGTTTTTATGTTCAATATATATGCCCTAGCAGTTTACCATAAGCACTATTTTAATGCATATATGCTCTAGTCCTGCTACAAAGAGCCCTACCTGCATTTGGCTTAGAATGACTGGCTGTAATTGAGGGAGCTCTAGCTTTCTGAAATAATCATCTTGGTGGTCATTTTGTCTTCCTTAATAGTCTTAAGAGAACTGTGGCCATCAGACCTGAGTTCAGCCCTGCTTCCTACTGTGCCTTTATGTAACCTCCCATCTTTATCCCTACAGGAAACTAGACGTGTCCCTCCTGATTATTCCTCAGACTTACTCCCTCCTCAATCTGCTCTCTTGAATCACCCCATTTCCAGAGTTTCATTTATCTGCTCCTGTTGGCTCTTAGTGGTTTCAAACCTACAGAAAACTATAGAACAACTTAATTCCATGTATTTACCACTTACCTATATAAAACCTTTCTATTCTGCTTTAGGTATTCTTGCTTTAGGTATTTTTCAAGAAGGCAAATCTAGTCCTCTCTTAATGTTGTTTTTGTGTCTCAGACATTGGATGAAGCTAAGCATTTCCACGGGAGTAGCCTGTCCCGCACTGCAGCTAGCAGGATGGTTACACTGCCTCCTTGGGCCCTCTGCTGATTCCTCTCACATGTTTCCAACCCTACTACTTCTATCCACATTCTCTTTCTCTCTCCTTCCCTCCCTCTTCTCCCTCCCTCCTCCTCACCCTTTCTCCCTCTCTCCTTTTCCTTCTCCCACTCTCCTCCTCCCTCCCCATTTCCTGTTCCCACTCCATCTCCTCCTCCTCCTCCCTTTCTCCCTCTCTCAGCTCTTACTGCCTTCTGTCTCTTTCTCCTCACTAGTGAGTGACCTTGCTGTTCTTTTCACAACTCCAGAAAAGCCTCTCCTGAGTAAGCACTTTGTAAATTTGTTTCCTTGCATATACTGAAGAAAGCTGGCAGTGTCATAGTGTCAAAAGCAATGTCAAAGCCGAGCACTGGTAGCTCACACCTATAAGCCTAGCTACTCAGGTGTAGATTTGAGGATCACTGTTCCAAGCCTGCCTGGGCAGGAAAGTCTATGAGACTCTAGCCACCAAAAAGCCAGAAGTGGAGCTCTGGCTCAAGTAGTACAGCACTGGCCTTGAGCAAAAAGCTCAGGGACAGCTCCTAGTCTCTCAGTTCAAGACCCAAAACCAGTACCCCCCCCCCAGGGGGAAAAGAAAAAATTGATATGCAGCAACTCCTATGCAAGAAGCAATTCCTAAGGCTTTAATCCACCCAAATAAAACCTAGAGGTTTTATTTCATGATCTCATAAATTTTTTAAATAAATTTATAATTAACTAATAGGGGCTATAAGTCTCACATGTGCAAAGTTTGTAAAGAAATTGTGGGAAACGGAGCCTGGCGCCGGTGGCTCATGCTTGTAATCCTAGCTACTCAGGAAGCTGAGATCTGGGGATCGAGGTTCAAAGCTAGCCTGGGCAGGAAATTCCATGAAACTCTTATCTCCAATAAACCACCAGAAAACTGGAAGTGGCGCTGTAGCTCAAGTGGTAGAGCACTAGCCTTGAGCTGAAGAGCACAGGGACAGCGGTCAGGCCCAGAGTTCAAGCCCCACAACCGACAAAAAAAATGGGAAACATTTTTAGCTAGACCCCTGTGCTAGCTCCTCAGCTTTGGCAGCCTATGGTCATTTGCCAAACTCTAAATTATAGCCTCTGCAACTCCATAGACACAGAGTCCAGCTTGCATTCCTAACAGGATTGCCACCATCTATCTCATCATATCCTATTAGTGATAGAAACAGTGTGCACTTTAGGAAACAAGTTATTCAGCAGTTCTTAAATTATTTTTCAACCTAGGCTACAGCAGCATAAATCTTAAGGTAAATAATACATGATAGAACCACTCAGAGCCCATGTGCCTCCAGATAGCAGCTATTCTTGATGAGCAGACAGTGGCTTTCTCTGGTCCCTTTAAAACCCCACAAGCAGAATCCGTGCAGATTAAAGTGTCTTTCTAAAATAATAGATCTAGGCTGCCACCGCTATACAACTACAAAACTGAGAAGCATAGGAGGTCCTGATAAATTACTGTGGAATCTTTAACCAGTCCTCTTCTATCTGGGAAGCCCCCCTAAGAAGCCCAGGCTGGTCTAAAGCTAACAGTCCTCCTGCCTCTTGAGTGCTGGCATCATAGATAAGTGCCATCATATCTGCTATCTCTTTGGAACTTAACACAGAAAGTAAAAAGCGTAAGGTGTCGTCTCTCTTGCCCTTGCAGAGTTCTAGACTGGTGACACACAGGTTACACTCAGCAAGTCGGGCTTTCTGTGTTGCCCATCCTAGATGTCCTTCCCTGGTCTGTGTGGTTACCCTTAGCTTTGGTGGCATTCTTGTTACCTTTGCCTGGAGAGGGATTTTTAACCTGAAGCACATGTCTGTCTACTTACTCTCTGTGTTTTCTTCCTCCTACCCCTTGTACAGAGTACATCCAGAAATATGCAACGGAGGAGGCCCTGAAGGAACAGGAGGAGGGCACTGGCGACAGCTCGTCAGAGAGTTCTATGTCTGACTTTTCGGAAGATGAAGCCCAGGACATGGAGTTGTAGTAGAAAAAGCACCTGCTTTTCAGAAAGACTATTATTTCCTAACCATGAGAAGCAGACTATAATATTCATATTTAAACAAAGCAATTTTTTTTATTACTAAACAAGGTTTTTATGAATAATAGCATTGATATATATATATTATATATCACCCTTTAGATCTTGATTTCTTGGTCATTTCTCAACCTGAGGTGCATAGCATATTCCCACATTCCATTTTGGTAGCAATATGCGGTCCGAATGCATGCATTCATAAGTCCATTGGCCAAGTCAGTCTGTGTGCTGCTGAACTGTCAAAAGAAATAGCCACTCTGATACTTAGACATGAGTGAAACTTAACACAAGTTGCTTCTTTATCGATGGTTCCAAAGAAACAAACCAAACCTACCAGCTCTTGGATGAAGATAGAATAGTGCTTTTTCAGAGTGGAAAGGAAAAAATTGGGGAGGAAGAGGCCTGCTTTGGGAGCATGTAGAGCCAGCCATGTGCGAATCAGCTGTTTCTTCTGTGAGGCCTGGGGGCCCGTTTCTGTGGAGCAGCAGTGCAAAACAGGGAGTTAATTGGAAAAATGAAACTTAAAAATATTTTTTGACTTGGGTTTTGAGTACATTTTTATGTGTAGATTCCTGCCCTTCATGCTACTAGACCTGCAGCCACAGTGTTTTTTGCTTTGGAGAACTTTTGGGAATTGTTCTCTGATCCTGATTCTTTTTCTGGGGGTGCAGCTTATCATCCAGACCATTTTTGAGAGGATAGGACAGGAGGAGAAAAGTGACGGGAAGAAGCGAAACTCATCCTGATCTGGTGTTGGGCCCGTTGGAGACCACTACCCTGGATAAAAGCTTTAAACTGGAGGGGGTTTCTTGTTTGATTGGGTTGTTTTGTTTTGTTGTTTCTTTTTTAATTTGTGTGAATTGTGCTTAGGTTATGAATTTAATCTTGCCCTACCAAGAGACAGCCTCCTCTCTGGTCAAGCCTCTTAGTGGACCATTACATGCCAGGAGACGACCTGACTGGTGAACATAAGGCCTGAGGCACTCTCCTTCATGTCTGGGGTTTGTTTTCCCTCTGGCTGCTACTCCTGGGTTAGCCTGGCCATCATCTGCTTGTAGAAGTGAAAACATGTATTTGTAATTTACACTGAGTAATAATTGAAACAAATAGACATCTTGTACTCAAAGTGGCTCGATTTGGGGAAAAACCAGCTTGCTTCTGAGTTTGACTAGAGAGAAGGGATTGGAGACAGGATACAGTGAGAGAGGGAGGGAGGGAGGGAGGGAAGGACAGACACTTGTCTCGTGTGCATACATAGAGCACGTGAGACAGTTTTCATGCCTGCTGCTGGTCTAGGCTTTGCTCAGCTAACCTGCATCCAGGTCGTCTGAGTGTTGCCTGCAGAATCTGGAGGGAACTGGAGTCATTTTAGGCAGAGCTCTATTCTTTTTGCCACAGCCAGTGGGACAATAGCAGAATTAGCCAATCCTAAAACCTTCTAAAGACAACTTCTGAACTGTCCCTCTGGGATAACTTTTCTTTTTGATGTGTGTTTTTAGTTTAGAAGTACTATATTCCACAAGGTTTAGGTCAATGAGGTTGGAAGATACCCTATCTTTTTTAATTCAAAAAGCACAATCAATCTTTTCTTTGAAAATCTATATAGAATACAACTTGCTTTTAGCATGATTATTTTCCTAAATAAAAAGACAAAGAATTTGCTTATTTGATGTTAATTACGGGCATGAAGCAAAAGGTTGTTGAAAACGTGAAGTTCTGTAGGGCTGTGGTTAGTAACTGTGCTGAGTTCTCTGGAGCATTGGTGGCTTGTTGAGAGGGTAATATTAACTATTTAACATGTAATGGTGTACTTTTACCTATGGCGCTGTCTTCTCATTGCTTTGGGGGCGGGAGGGTCTCTGGCAGCACTGTCACTTGCTTCCCTGCTGCTTTAGCAGTTTGCCTGTGCTGTAACCTTCACTGTAGGTGCTACTAGGTAGGCTTGAAGTGCTGGGTGGTGATTTGAATTCAAACAATAAAAAAATGTATTTTTTCAATATTGTATAAACAATAGTGTTCTAATTACCTTTCAAAAAAAAAAGTCCAGATAATTGCACTTGATCTTGTCCAAAAAAACCAAAACCTACTTTAACCAAGTTCCCAGATCTGTGAGCAGTATTGCCACAGCTCTGTCCCTCATGAAATCCACTTTGCTCCCATAAAAACACATCAGCCTTCTCGCCTCCCAGAGCTCCAGCGGCAGTGGCTCTGAGTTCTGTAGAACTCCCACGTGAAGACGGGGAGAGGCCACTGCTCAGTGTGGCTGCGGCGTGCACATGCACATCCATCCAAGTGGGTGACAGAGGTGTGACCAGGCCTCTCAGCACTGGAAGCTCCTGTGACTCTCTCCAAATCACACTGTACCTTCTCTTTTCTGGGCACTAATATGGTTCCATGCATGTTCTAGGCCTTTTCTTCACTAAGAAACTGACTGCTATACCTTTCTAACTCTTCCCTGTTCCTGGGCAAGGTGAGACTAGGAGATCAGCCTCCCTGAGGGCTCTGGGCCCCGTCTTAGATACAGCCTTCCCTCACAGCAGAGGCTTCTAGAGCCCCAGAAGGCTGAGCCCTCTGGAGCTCTTCAGAGCTGCTGATGCCAGTTTGCCTCTCTTAGCACCCATTGTTTTTGAGGTCCCACCTTTGATTTACCAACATGAGCCATTCTTTTGCTCCAATTCAGATGACTGAGCTCCTGCTGTTGACAAACAACACGCAAGGTAGAATAACCAGCAACACTGCATCTACTGCCCTAGCCTTCCAGAAGTCCAGCAAAGGCCAGTGGGTGGTATCCAAGTAGTGCCCAACCTAGACCCTGACAGTGTGGCTTTTTTTTTTTTTTTGTCCAAAGTCTCATTACTGCCCTTGAGTTTACTTGTGGTTTCAACCAGCATCTTAATACTAACAAGAAAGTGATTGGAAGTTTCCATATACTCTGCAGTACTAATGATTTTCATCCACTTCACAGGCTATTCTAAATTGCTGACTGGCTTGATACAAGCTCCTTTGAACTTTCAAACATAGTTTGCTCTCCAAAGGGCTCCAGTGAGCCTTGGTCTGATGCTTGCTTTTTTTTTTGTTTTGTTTTTTGAGATGGCTGAGAATCATGTCAGATCCTCTGCTAGCCTCCATGGGGTCAGGTTTGGGAACTGATGTTTTATTTTCAATGGCATCTGGTCCTTCTAGATTGGAATGACTCAGAAGTGAAGGCCATTTACAAAAGTTAGCAAAGAGATTTTTTTTTTCCATTTCATCAAATTCCTAACTGGGCTCACAGCTTTGTGGAGAAATCAAATTGTTTCTGAGTGGGCATAAAAGCTGCATTTCTTTGGACTTCTGAATCCATGTTTATACTTTCTCTGGCCACCGAACACCTTGGCCATCCCCTTAGGGCTGAATAAAGACCCACTGGGGCCGAGTTAGCCTTGGTGTACAGATCTCCACTCTGCTGAGGAAGGGCCAGGGTTCTGGCTTTAGCAGATACTTGCCTTGGCTGAGAGTTTGGGAAGAAATGGCCACTATTTACTGATTGTATTTGGTACATATTGTGTGATACTTGAAAAGATAAAAGGGATCTACTAGCCCTTAATTGAGATCTAAGCTTTTTACTGCTTTTTTTCCTTTGCCCTGTCTCCTCCCTTCCACCTTACTCCTTGCATTGTGGTGATCTAGTGGGCATGTCTGTCACCAGACAACTGCCTCCTCTGACTATAACCTCTTAATAGTTGTGTATAATGAAAACTGTAAACTTTTTTAAATAAAATGTGTATATACCTTAGCACATGGCTGGGTCTTGGTCAATAAGATGAGAGCCCCCATTCTGACTCTTGAGCCCATTCTTTAAGTTCCATCTGTTCTCCTGACTCCTGAGCCCTTCTCAGGATGAGTTAAAAAGCAAGTGAGTGTCGCCATCAGGCAGTGGTAACCAAAGACCCGCTAACTAAATCAGGGGCTAGTGACTTTCGCATAGGAGTCTCGCAAAGCTGTCCTTTTCTGTGAAGTTGCGGGGTGGGGGGGTCATCCCTCCCCCTAAACCTACTGCATCCTATTGGCCACTTGGCCTGGAGTTCACAGGCGGTGAAGCCTCCTGTGGGGACTGCCCCACCAGCCAACAAGAACCTGTGTGCCAAGTGCCAAGCTCTGCTCTACCTTGGATGGAGAGGACACATCACTGCCCTGGACCAGCAACGGCGTTCCTTCCCAGAGCACATCCCCTAAATGGCCACCAGATGGCGACAATGCCCAGTCTGCTGTGCTTTTGTTATGCCCCTGAGACAAAGGGAGTTAGTTGTCTGGTGGTTTCCACCACCTCACTGTTTCCTCCCTTCCATCGCTCCAGACATTGCTCCTCTCTCCAGTGCGATACAGTCTTCAAGACTGCAGCTTCTTATCTTGCTGTTGGGGGTTGAAGGGAAGGCCTCCTAAGGCTACTCTCATGCTACCCTTGGCTCCTCCAGTGCTCAGAAGCATTCACTTATTTCTTGTAATTGGCCCTCACTACGCCCTCAGCCAGTGGGCTAGATGCCGGAGCTGTGAGTTCTAGGTCTTTCCTCTGCCATCTTGAGCTCCTGTTTGGCATTCTGTGCGCCTTGGGCACTTGGCTCTGCAGTGAGTCCCTAAGACTAGTGGCTTGTGACTGACACTGTCTCAGAACTTCATACCCCAACAGCAGCACCAGAGACCATATCCAATTCTGCAGAGGATGCTGTAGAAACCCTGAGAGCAAGTTTTCAAGACAAGCATTAGTTTACACACCCAAGGAGCTTTGGGAGTTCATTGAGAGTATCTGTTGTCGGCTTGGGAAGAGGAGAGGTATGGGTCACCTGACTCATCATTCTGTTCATCCTACACAAGATAGTACCTCTCCCCCCATTTCGCTAGGTAAGTGAACTACCATTACGATTTGGGCCATGCCTCCAGCTTTTTTTCTTTTTTTGTCTGTTATGGGACTTGAACTCAGGGCCTGGGTGCTGTCCCTCAGCTCTTTTTGTATAAGGCTAGAGTTCTAGCCACAACTCCACTTTCAGTTTTTGAGTAATTAACTAGAGATAAGAGTCTCGGGCTAGGAGGGTGGCTCAATGGTAGAGTGCTTGCCTTGAGGCCCTGGGTTCTATTCCTCAGCATCACATAAGCAGAAAAAGCCGGAAGTGGTACTGTAGCTCAAGTGGTAGCCTTGAGCTGAAGAACTGAGGGACAGTGCCCAGGCCCAGAGTTCAGCCCCACGACTGGCCAAAAAAAAACAAAACAAGTCTCTTTGAACCATGATCCTCAGATCTCAGCCTCCTGAATAGCTACGATTACAGCCATCAGCCACTGGCACCTGGCTCCTCTCTCTCTCCCTCTTCCCTTTCCTCTCCCTCTCCCTCTCCCCCCCCTCTCTCCCCCTCTCCTCATCCTGGGGCTTAAGCTTGGGGACTGGACACTGTCCCTGAGCTTTTTTGCTCGATAGCAAAAAAGAGCTCCACTTCTTTTTTTTTTTTTTGATGGACTCACGAGGATCCTCCCACCTGGCAGGTGCCTGGGATTACAGCCTCCGCCTGCTCGCTCTTCATCTGGTCATCTCCCGCATCACTCTTGGCTGCCTTCTAGGTACAGGTAGCCTGCCACTGCCTGCCTGAGGCACCTCACTCCTAGAAATGGGAATCTGGGGTCCTTGAGACATGTGATCCTAGAAAAGGAAATTGGCCCCAAATTCTTAGGGGGTTGTATGTCTCCTAAATTGTCTCCAGTCCACTGTATCTGGAGGGTCTTGTTCCTCACCTAAGTGCAGGGCACAGAGGAATTTTTGGACTCCCACAATCGCTAGAGCCACCACACACACTGAGCACCTTATTCTGTAAGAGCCTAGGACAGCCTGTCGGGCCAAGGCCTGCTCTCCTGCACCCTGATCTCTTAGAAGAGAAACTACTGGGCACAAGGTGCCTCACACATGTAATCCTAGCTACTCAAAAGGCTGTGATTGGAGCATCACAGTTCAAAGTCAGCCCCAGCAAAGGCCAGAAATGGAAGGGTGGCTCAACTGGTGGAGTGCCAGCCTTGAATGAAAAAGCAGTGCCAGCCCTGAGTTCAAGCCCCAGCACTGGGGGAGGGGAGGGAGCTATTCCGCATTTTTAAAACTAATTCTTGAAATCGAATGTGTATTCCACATAGCACATCTTTTTTTGTCAGTCATGAGGCCTAAACCCAAGACATGGATGCTGTCCCTGAGCTCTTCTGCTCAAGGCTAGTGCTCTACCACTTTGAGCCACAGTGCTAATTCAAGTTATTGGGTAGTTAATTGGAGATAAAAGTCTCACAGACTTCCCTACCAGGCTGGTTTCCAAACCATGATCCTCAGATAGCCTTCTGAGTAGCTAGGATTACAAGCATGAGCCATCAGCACTGGGCTGTGGATGCTAAATCTTGATTGATTTTTACACTAAATTTCCAATCTTTGAAATGATACAGCCCCACCAAAGTTGTCTTGCAAGAAAACAGTTTTTTGCTTTAATTTTTTATTGCTATTAAATAGTTGTACAAAGGGATTACTGTTCCATAAATCAGGCCAACTATATAAGTCCCCCCCCCCCCCTGCCAGCAACCATATTTTAAAAAATGAGGGAGAAAGAAGAAAATGTGCTCAGTAGCCACACGGGGCTATGACTTACCTGTTGCACAGCGCAGTACTAAAATCCTATGACAGATCGTAAGTGAAGGAATCTCACAAGAGTGAAGGAGCAGCTTTTCTTGGGAACTTAGAACCAACCCTGGCCCCTAGCGCTCTGCAGGCAAGGGAGGCTGGCTCTGTGGCCTGCCTGGACCCAAGTGGGATGTCCAGATCGGAGTCCAGCTGGGACCTGGACAACACAGGATCCCAGGGGAGGTGACTTCTTGGCCTGATGACGCCCACTGGCCCTGCTGGCTGGAGTGCGGAAGGCCGCGAGAAGTCACTGTGGGTTACACAGCCCTGCAGAACCCAAAATGCCCGTTGCCCCCATGGGTTAGAACCCTGTCCCCTGCAGGCTCAGAGAGACCCAGGCAGGAGGCCCAGGCTGCCACCTGTGTGGGGAAGTCTGGTGCCAGGTCCCCCACCTTGGCCACCAGGAGAGGCGCACTGAAGCTTGATGGCAGAAGGGCTGAGTCCCTACCTCGCCACCAGGGGGCGCCACGGACTCACGCTGAGAGCTGAAGGGTGAGGGCAGAAAGGCGGGTCCCCACCTCGGCCACCAGGGGGCGCCCCGGACTCACGCTGAGAGCTGAAGGGTGAGGGCAGAAAGGCGGGTCCCCGCCTCGGCCACCAGGGGTCGCCCCAGACTCTGCACGCTGAAAGGTGAGGTCAGAGGAATTGGATCCCACCTCGACCACCAGGGAGCGCTCGGGACTCACGCTAAGCACTGAAGAGTGAGGGCAGAGAAGCGAGTCCCCACCTCGACCACCAGAGGGCGCCCCGAGCTCGCGCTGCGCGCTGAAGGGTGAGGGCGAAGGTGCCCGGTCTTCTGCGGGGTCGGGCGGAAGCGCCCCCAGAGCCCGCAGGGTCGCTGCCACTGCACCGCCAGGACACACGGCCCCTCCCCGGGGCGGGGGGAGGGGAAAGGAGGAAAAGGATGGCCACTCCACGCGTCCAGGGTCTTCCCGGAGGAGGGGACTCGCTGGCTGGGAAGGAGGCGGATAAAGGGGAAGGGGCGGCCCGCTCTGCGGGGTGGGGCGGAGGTGGGAGGGGACCTGGGACCTGGGGCTTGGCGGGGAGTGGCGGGGACTGGAGCTGAGTGGCAGCCCGGGCGGCCCAGCATGGGAGGGGGGGTCGGGCAGCCCGATGGGAGGGGGCGCTGGGCCCTGGGCGGGTGGGGGGACCTGAGAGGCTTTCCTGGTGGGAGCCCAACGCACAGGGCAGGAGGAAAGGGGAGATCAAGCCGAGAC